ACCAATTCCTAAATTTGCAGCCAGGCAAGAAATATGATTCTTGAGATTCCTACATGTCAGGGCCCGAGGTACGGTGGGGATCGGGAGCCTCGAGCTCTCCCCCCCCCCCACACTTTGTTTGAAAAAGTATATTAAAGAGAAATAAAATAGAATGAGAGCAAGAAAGAAAGAATAGTTAACTGCCAGTGTTAACAAATAATGAGGCATCAAAATATGCTCATCTGACCGTGATTAAATGCCTAAAACTCCTAAGCTTCCGTGGGCTCTGCCCCCTGGATCCCACCAAGGGCCCTACGGCGGGCCCTTAGATGCTCATCTGACGGTAATTTAATTCCTAAAGCCCCTGATTTTGGGGGGCTCCGCCCCCTGGACCCAACGCCAAATAGTTACCTGCCAGTGTCACGAAATAATAAGGTATACACAAAAAAATATGCTCATATGACCTTAATTAAACGCCTAAAACCTCTGAGCTTCCGGGGCCGGCTTCGCCGCCGCCCCAGACAAGGATTAACAATCGAGAACGGTACAGCGAATCGTCTTTTTTCTCTTATAATGTTATGAAAAGTGAAGCTTCCGCGCTTTGCGCGGGAGGGGAACCTAAATTCAGACAAGGATTCAGAGGCGAGAACGGTTATACCAATCTTTTATGATTTAATAAAACGTAAAAGCTTCCGCGCTTCGCGCGGGATCGAGGGGGGGGGGGAACTTAATTCCGACGAGGATTATTTTCGAGAGCGGTACAACGAATCGTCTTCTTTCTCTAATGATTTAATGAAAATTAAAAGCTTCCGCGCTTCGCGCGGGAGGGGGGAACCTGAATTCAGACGAGGATTAAGAGTCGAGAACTGAACAGCAAATCGTCTTTTTTCTCTCATAATCTTATGAAACATTAAAGCTTGAGCGCTTCGCGCGGGAGGGGGAGGGGAGGGGACCTGAATTCAGACGAGGATTAAGAGTCGAGAACGGTACAACGAATCGCCTTCTTTCTTCAATAGTTTAATGAAACGTCAAAGCTTCCGCGAATCGCGCAGGAGGGGGAGGGGGTAAACTAAATTCAGACGAGGATTAAGAGTCGAGAACTGTACAACGAATCGTCTTGTTTCTCTAATGATTTAATGAAACATAAAAGCTTCAGCGCTTCGCGCGGGAGGGGGGAGAATCGAAATTCAGACGAGGATTAAGAGTCGAGAACTGTTCAGCAAATCGTCTTCTTTCTCTCATAATCTTATGAAACTTAAAAGCTTCCGCGCTTCGCGCGAGAGGGGGGGGGGGACCTGAATTCAGACGAGGATTAAGAGTCGAGAACTGTACAGCGAATCGTCTTCTTTCTCTAATAATTTAATGAAACGTAAAAGCTTCCGCGTTTCGCGCGGAGGGGGGGGGGGGAGGGAACTGAATTCAGACGAGGATTAAGATTCGAGAACGGTACAACGAATTGCCTTCTTTCATATAGTTTAATGAAACGTCAAAGCTTCCGCGCTTCGCGCAGGAGGGGGAGAGGGAGGGGGGAACTGAATCTAGACAAGGATTAAGAGTCGAGAACGGTACAACGAATCGTCTTCTTTCTCTAATGATTTAATGAATCGTAAAAGCTTCCGCGCTTCGCGCGGGAGGGGGGGGGGAGAATCTAAATTCAGACGAGGATTATTTTCGAAAACGGTACAACGAATTGTCTTTTTTCTCTAATGATTTAAGGAAACTTAAAAGCTTCCGCGCTTCGCGCGGGAGGGGGGAGAATCTAAATTCAGACGAGGATTATTTTCGAAAACGGTACAACGAATCGTTTTTTTTCTCTAATGATTTAAGGAAACTTAAAAGGGGGGAACCTGAATTCAGACGAGAATTTAGAGTCGAGAACTCTACAACGAATCGTCTTCTTTCTCTAATAATTTAATAAATCCTAAAATTTTCCGCGCGTCGCGCGAGAGGGGAAAAACTAAATTCAGACGAGAATTATTTTCGAGAACTGTACAACGAATCGTTTTGTTTCTCTAATGATTTAATGAAACTTAAAAGCTTCCGCGCTTCGCACGGGAGGGTTGGGAGAATCTAAATTCAGACGAGGATTATTTTCGAAAACGGTACAACGAATCGTTTTGTTTCTCTAATGATTTAATGAAACTTAAAAGCTTCCGCGCTTCGCGCGATAGGGGGGGGGGGGAACATGAATTCAGACGAGAATTTAGAGTTGAGAACTCTACAACGAATGGTTCTCTTTCTCTAATAATTTAATCCTAAAATTTTCCGCGCTTCGCGCGAGAGGGCAAAAACTAAATTCAGACGAGATTTATTTTCGAGAACGGTACAACGAACCGTCTTCTTTTTCTAATAATTAAATGAAACGTCAAAGCTTCCGCGTTTCGCGGAGGAGGGAGGGGGAAATTCGCCCCTCCCTGCACCGACCCCCCCCCCCCGCATCACGTCACTGTTGGTCACCATTACGTACCAATATTTGGCTCGCATAATTTCAAATTTGGGCCCCCCCCCCTAAGAAATCCTGGATCCGCGCCTGGGTATAATATACCCCTACATGTAATTACATTATCAGGGATGATTGCAATGTTTGTTTCTCGCTTTACATGGCCCAAGATAAACAAATTTAAAAAGATTTTTGAGGTGGCAGTGAGAAAAGCTACATCTTATAAAGAGAGAAAAAACAATTCTGAAGGGGTATTAAATCTAATCTAATTATGAAAGAGTAAAAACACATTTAAAAAAGAAACACACTTATTTCAAATTTGGGCGAAATTAATGGGAAAATTGCTGTTAATTGATTTAAATTATGAGCATATTTTATGGTGAAAGAAAAAAAGGGCACATATATCCAAAGGGGAAATGACACTTATCAGAAAAGAAAATTAGGAGCACGTGTCAAAATAAAAAGGGAAACTATCAAAGGTTAAAATGGAGCACTTCTCGCACCTGATAAGGCCGGGCACTCACCAGAGATGAAAAGGAGCACTTATGAAAACGAAAAAGGGGCACTCGATCATTACATGAAGGAGAATTAGGAGCAATTATCAGAAGGAAAATGGCACTTATTAGAAAAGATGAAAATTCATTATGGCGCACGTGTGTCCTAATAGCAGGGGCACTTATCAGAGATGAAAAGGGGCACTTAAGGGCGATTTAGGGCATTCACCGGAGATGATCAAATCACGGGGGCAGTTATAAAAGAGCTGAGGCACTTGTCAAAAGGGACATATCTCAGATTTGAAAAGAGGCAATTATAAGAGGTAAATGGGTAGGCCTACTTGTGGTAAGCTTCTTGTTTCTAAAAAGGGGCACTCACCTGAAGTAAAAGGGGGACACTTTAGTTTTTTTACCCTACTATACATACATAATTCGGAATTTGTCATTTTCCAACAAACGCATAAACCGTAGATTTACAAAAAAGTGGGACCCCCCCCCCCCCCCCCCCCCCCCCCCCCCCCTCGGGAAAATCATGTTTTTTCAGTAACATTTTAAAATTCCTTTCCAAAAAGGGTGCCCACTGTCGAGTGACTGAAAAAAGGATGAAACGCTGATCCTCCCACCCCCACCCCCCTCCCTCCTTTTTTCAATTACAATCAAAACTGTGTTAGTGATCACCTGGTATAAAGGCCACCTGCATTTAGTGGCTACCCATATTTTATCTGTGTTGAAAAAACTGAAGAAAAGACCATCTGTCTATTCTAGCATGCATTGTGAACTCCAACTCCATGCAGCCCATCGCGTTCTCTCAGCGCTCGCGCTAAAACTGTGCCTCTGCACTGCACTAGCACTGCATGCACTGTATCCTGTGCACTGAGCTGAGCTTAACCCTTGGCTTGCGTCGGTTCCAGAATCCCCAGGCAGAGCGAACGTGATCGTGACCGAGGTAAAAATATTCGCTTTTGTTAGCATAAAATGAAAATTAAAAGGTTGTGATTCAATAGATTTAGATATAACCGATATATTAGATCATATGGTTATAAACGAAATAGGTGTCCAATTGCCATTTAACACAAGTTGATAATTTGACATTATTTATAGACTCTAACATAAAAAGTTAGGTGCATGTGGGACTACCAGGATCTACTCCAACTCAACCGCATCAGATCGGGGGGGGGGGGGGGGGGGGGGGGGGGAATGATCAAAGGGGTGGTTGTATGTCAACTCACTTTACAAATTAATTGGTCCATACTGAGGGCAATGTTATGAAGCTTCTTTTGAGTGTAGAAAGATCAAACAATGAGTTGCGTGTAAATAACTAAATTAGAATGAGTGCAAGAACTGAAGAAGATTCAAGATGGACCATTGAATATTGAATGAAGAAGATAGAGTCTAGATCTAGACCTAGACTCTGGATGCTGGAAGCTCAAATGCTGTCTTATAACATTCTTCCCGTATTTGCGGTAAAGGTAGGATGTAGGGTAAAACTGTTGGCTAGAGCAGTTGTGTACGGGTAGTCGGGTACCTTAAATTGACGGTTTCATTTGATATTTTCATGAAATAGAATGAGAAAATTTTGATGTATTAGATTTGATCAAACCAACATTACAACATGGGGTAGACATGGCAAGAATACCATCAGTTCCTTATCTTTTTTTTGTATTTCATTCAATTACACACAGGCAACGTCTTTCCTAGAGGCTCAAGGTTCTGTGAGTGTGATCGTGCAACTAAAATGGACTATCAGCACAATAATAAATTTGCAGCATCTGCGTCAAGCTTGTTTGACAGTCAGCCGCAGCACGTTAAAGATATATTAAAGGACTTGCATAAAGGAAGCAATACACCGTTTGACCAGAGCACAGAGCCAACATTGCATCAGAAGCCAAATATGGCCCAGTGGCACTATCATGAAGAGTTACCGACATCTCTGGAAAAAAGTAACCTTGATGAATATAGCTCTACCGGGACTTCAGCAGACAGTATGTACGGCAGTAAGACTTCAGGAGACAGTATGTATGGCAGTAAGACTTCAGGAGGTAGTATGTATGGTAATACGACGTACAGTCAACCAGATCTTCGTAATGCACCTTTGAGGATAGAGGTAGAGAGCATAGGGATCAAGGTTACAAAGAAAGCAGCAATGAAATAGGATGGACTCCACCAGGTCAGAAGTACTATGATGGAGCCAGTTTTCAAGGAAGAGATAGAGAGATGGATGACCAACGTTATTATGATGATAGCATGCTTGGAAGAGGTAGTGGGATGAGTGGTCAGGGTTATGACGATAGCAATGTAAGGGGAATGCGTCAAGGGAGCATGGGCCAACCTACTAATGGTAACACAGGAGGGAGAGGTCGAGGAGGAAGAGGTCGTGGACGTGGTGGTGACGCTGCCCTTGGAAGAGGATCAGCAAAGAGGGGAATGTTGCATGGAGGTGGTGGATATGGACCTGCAGCCAAGAAACCAAAATGGCAACAAGGGGAAACAGGCAGTCATGAACAGACATTTGGTGCAGAGCAAGGATGGGGTGGCGGAGGTAGTGGAAGTAGAGACTCTGATAACAGTGCGCGGGAAAGAGGTCGAGGTTCGAGAGGGAGAGGATTCGATGGGAACTCGTGGGGAAGAGGTCGTGGAACAGGGGGTCAAGGATCAGTTAGTAGTACACAAGGAAGAGGAAGAGGAACAATGGGTCGTGGACGTGGTGGTGATATTGCCCGTGGAAGAGGGTCGGCAAAGAGGGGAATGCTACAAGGAGGTAGTGGATATGAACCTGCAGCCAATAAACCAAAATGGCAAAAAGAGCAACAGGGGAAAACGGGGAGTAGTGAACAGAGATGGGGTGCAGAGCAAGGATGGGGCCGAGAAAGGATATGGGGCCGGGGAAGAGGCAAGGACCAAGGTGTACGTGGAAGAGGTTCAAGAGGGCGACAAGGGGGACCTCCACAGAGAAACAACCCTGGTCGTTCAAATCAAGAAGTTAATGACGGCGCTGTAGAATATGGTTTTGATGGGAAACCTGTTGGACCCGAAAGACTTGCTAGTACACTTGGAGATTTCAAATACTGCAAGGTCTGTGATATACATATCAACTCTATGAAGTCTGCTAAGGCTCACTATTCTGGCAAAATTCACCTGAAAAGGCTCAATAGTATTCTGCAGAAAGAAGGTAGGCTTTTGACATAAGGTATTGAAATTGTACTTTTTCATTATATTTTCTGTGACATTGTTTTATTTCTGTATCATTATTGAATATATTTAATTAGTGAAGAAGAAAAAGAAATTGAAATTAAAATTAACATGTGATCATGATGTACAAATGTATATACAGGTGCAAATATGTTTCAAACTAAAAATTTGTCTTGCTTTGGGCATCAATTTTTAATTGTTCAGCAACTTTTAAAGGGTAGGGATAAAGAAAATACATTATGTTCTGATGTCTCGGAGAGACGGAGACCCCAAGGATTTCTTTGTTTTCAAATTCTAAGCTATAAAATCAAATTAATTTACTTGTGAGAAGTTTGGGAGCTACATTCAGCAAAAAAGAGAGAATTTGATTAATTTATGTTTATTTTGATCATAGATTAAAGATAAATTCATTGTAAATATTTATTTGAAAATCTTGAACTATGAAAAGTCACACTATATGAAATTCGCTTTGTCAATGAAGGATTGCTATGTCCTTTTTTTCTTTCTTCAGAATTGATGAAAACTCTTGACGTAACTACAGACAATTGTGAGGTATGCAATGTCGTATATACTTCCCCTTTGCAAGTCAAATCACATCTTGACGGAAACAGGCATAAGAAAAATGTTGAAGAAGGTTAGTGTTTACCGGTATTTGAAGATACCTTTGTGTTTTGTAAAGTGTCGGCAGATATGCTGTTAGGCAGGAGGGCATCTGGACGATCTGGTCGTCAAAAAGACACCCATTTCTTGTGGAAGACGCCCTACAATTTTCTTTAAATGTATTTTATTTTATGTTCAGCCTTTTTAATTTCCCTTTAAAAATGTCAAATGCCTTATCAGGCTATAAGATTTCTTATTAAAAGTGATGATCTTATCACTTTACAACAAGGGTTCTGTTTCTCCGTAATATGTTCCTCATATGAAGAGCTTCACTATGAAAATAGTCTGAGAAAGCTTTTGAATGTTTGATATTTGAATTCCCCTTAAAAAAAAATATGTATTTTTAGCTAAAGCTAAAGCTGAGGGATGTCCAATTCCATCAGAATCTACTGATCAGAAGAAAGGAGAGGTTGACAAGGAGACTGTTGCTGATGCCAGTAGAGAGAAGGCATCATCTGGACCATCGGATGAACGTTTGAGTAAGGAAGAATTTCTCCTCGTTGAAATTTAGATTTATTTAAATTTATCTGTGCACTCCACTGCATGGAGTATTCTGGTGTTAAAACTTGAATAGGATGTCTGTTCATAAAAGTTTTGGAGTCACTTCTCATGTGTGTGGCAGTGATGTATTTGTAAGTGTATTACAAGTATTAAAGGGGCAAGAAAAGTTGATCATTAAAGCTCCTTAAAGTGTTGAGAGCCCAAAAGATTTGATTGAAAAACCTACTGCGGAAGTGTTGGGAGTCCCAAATTCGCCAAAATTTTGATGGCAATGTGAAAGAGGATGTCATTTAAGACACATTTCTGCTAGGATTTTCAAAACAAATGTGTTTGAAGTCGAATATTGATGAAAGAATACAAAATTTTGGTTTTCTGCGTACAACAGATAACCCAAATTATGTATTCTTTTATCAATATTTGTCTTCAAACACATTTTTGAGGGGAAATCTTTGCAGAAGTGTGTCTTAAAAGACATCCTCTTTCAATTGCCATCAATTTTTTGGCGAATTTGGGACTCCCAACACTTCCACAGTAGCTATTCTAAAGTGAATCAAGTTGGACACATCTTTTGTTTCCGGAAAATCATTTTGCAGTTATAAAGGGACTGGATAGTTTACAGATTATATGTGTGAAATGTTCTATTAAGATGCTGTTGTATTCTAGTCACATTTGTCTATTTTCTGATACAATTACATTTAACAAATATAAAATTGCCTTCCAGCAAAGTCCTAGAGTTTCTCAAACATTTACTTTTTATTCTTATGAATTACCTTGCAGTGCTGGAACGTAATGAAAAGTTTGTTGAACCCAAGATGAAGGCCAGTGGTGAGATGCCTCGTCTGAGTCGCCCAGCTGATTCCCAATCTCATGACCAATCTCGTGTCACAGCAAAAACATTCCCAGAAGGGGCTCAGCCCACGCCGAATGTCAGAGAAGGTATTACCCGTTTGTGGAAATGAGACTAATGCCTCATTCCCAACTAATTCGCCTGTTCCCAACTTCCATTAAAAAATCTATGGAAAAAAACAGAAAGCACTTCAAATATCTGTATCTAATGATGCAGAGGAAAGTGATTATGCTTAAGGGCCCTTTGTTATGTGCCAAAAGTTTTTCTCAACCCCACTCGCTGTTCATTTTTACATCTGAAAAAAATGCTCCAGTTTACCATGTTTTATGTGAACAAGCCTTGGAGAATTCAAATGTAATAAGGAACCCATTACACAAAGCCTTGTTTGAAAGACAAATGACAAAAAATCAGTGACAAATCTGCTGATAACCAATTAAAACTAACTTAGAAGCAAGGATTTCACTAGCTTATAACAAAAACTGTCATTTGACACTAATGACACGTTTTGTGAAATGGGGCCCTGCTTTTTGTCCACATGTTGCCCACCCATCCCCTTGTTCCTCCAATAGACAGATGTCAATTTGAACAGGCCATTTTTTCTTATGGAAAATAATTGTGCATCATAATTGCTACGATTTCAGCTAAACATGGTTCCCTTGGAACGCAATTGGAAACGTGATGTTTTTTTTACTTTTAAGGGGCAATTCCCAAGGTTATTGGTCAGTGGAGGTCTACTTGTTCAGAAAAAAACAACATTATTGGTGAGAAGTAAATGCTGGTACAATTAAAGGACCTGCATGATTCTGTTTAGGTCATTTGGTGATGTAAAACATCATAGAAGCCCAATGTGCACTTTGTTATCTATGATAATTTGTGGTGATAATCTTATCAGTCAAAGGACTTGCAAATGTCAAGTATATTTCTGTTTATGGTAGCCTGTCTACCTTGTCATAGTATTTTAAACAGACTCTGAGTTTAGTCTTGTAGAAATCAGCTGCAAAGAATGATTCGATAAATGGAATTGATTATGTGTTACTCTCATCTATTGCAAACTCTAGAACAAAAAAATGTCCAGTCACAAAAGGGGGAAAGGTATGCTACAGCTGCTGCAAGAGAGCCAGAGGAAAGGACGGCTACTTTTGCTGGAAGAGAGCCAGGAGAAAGACGCAAAAACCGCTTCTATTGTGACCTTTGTGGCGTTAGCACGACATCTCCTGATCTCCTTGCAGATCATTTCCTTGGTAAGTTATCATTTGCCAAATGTGGGGACCAATTGTTTTTGTAATCATCTTTAATAGCAAAACCACTTTTCATTCAAAGTTGTCAGTGTTTCATTGCTTTCTTTGCGAGACCTGTGCTGCTATGATAATCATTTTGTTGAAAGAATTCAGAAATTGTTTAAAGAATTTTGATAAAACCCAGAGATTATCCCTGAATTCTACGTATTGAATACCAGTAAACACAACTGTGTGATATATATCTGAAATAAATAAGTAATAATCAGTTGTGAGAGTATGAAGCTGTTGGTGCTACAGGAGTTTCAAGAATTTTTTGATGTCATAAGATCAAAGTTATTACTCTAGCTTATTACCAATTCAATTTTGATTTTTTTTGGGGGGGGGGGAATTTTTTTTGTGTGGATTTTTTTGGATTTTTTTTTGGATTTTTTTTTCTTCAAATTGTACAGAAGATGTTTCTGAGAGGGTGGTCAATTTTCTTCATTTTTTTAAAATATGCAATTTAAGTCTTAAATATTGAATCTTTATTTAACATCTTTTATAAGGCTCTGCTTCTGTAACATTTGCATTCATGGATTACTCATTTCTCTTATGACTACAGGCAGAAAGCACAAGCACACAATGTTACTTATTAAGAAGAAAAAGAGTGCGCCCACTTCTGCTCATGGAAGTGTGTTTTCATGCAAGCTATGCCGCATTTCAACTCACGACGCTTATAATCTCAACCTGCATATGACTGGTGAGTTGTGTATCTAATTCTAAAGGCTAATGTGGAGGAAATAGTGAACAAATATATAGAAGTTCATCTGTTGTATAAACTAGCAAAACTATTGCTGTGCCAAAGCCTGTGTGGACCACTGGACGGGACCTGTGTAGTGACTCGATAAGAAGAAGAACTATTCATTTTGGAAAACTTTATGTATCTTCAGATACAATCATGATTATATAACTGTTTTTGCTTTGTGTGGGCTTGATTTGGATGGGGGCCTGTGTTTAATCCCAAATTTGAATATTAGTATCATTTGGAGATAACTGGTGAGTTGGCTCAGTCAGTAGAGCGTCCGCCTCACAACCAGGAGGTCGTGGGTTCGAACCCCGGCCGCATCATACCAAAAGACGTTAAAAGACGGGAGTTGCTGCTACCTTGTTTGGCTTTCAACATTAAGGGATAGAGCAACGTCGATCTGGCGCTGCTTAGTGGCTGCCGGGCTCCCGATCAATTGGTCAAAAAGAATTTCCATTTTTCGGTTTAACTTGATAAAATTTGGAGTGGACTTTAAAAAAGATTATTAACTGACTGACTAGAGACAAGTGAAGAGATGCTTGTTACAACAGAATCAAGGAATATCAGTGAATATAAGATGGACTGAAGCTTTTTGTCTTGCACTAATCAGAGTAAACTGCAAGAATGAACAGACAGCTGGAATTCCACATTATCTTCTTTACCCCTTACTGTACTGGGCTATTTTGAGCACCTCGTGACTGGGGGGATCTCGGCCGTCGAAAGTCCGATGAACGCGAAAATTTGCATGTTTGTAGATATTTACGTAACGAACAAGATGGTATAATTAGTTTTTTCCTAATATGCACATTTTTGTCATTATAGCCTAATTAATTATGCAAAATGCTAATTTTATGCATTTTACAGAAAACTCTTCATATTTGTCTGTAGACTTGTGAAGAATGTTGAAAATGTATTGAATAAATGTTTCCTTCATCTCAAATTCATGAGGTTACATTATTTTTATGATATTTGAAAATGCATAGGTTAATTTGCATAAATTATGAATACGCATTCATGAATATCAAATCTTGAAATATACAGGGAACTAGAATCATTACAAAAATTGTCAGACTCCACTTTTTGAACGTGTAAATTGAAACCCATTATTCATATGAAACTTCTTTTCTAACACAAAATAGTTATTTTGATGTAATTAATAATGATAATGTATGCAAATTTGATGCGATTTTCTAATTTTTATTTTCTTTTGTATTTTATTGTTTTTTATTTCTTATTATATCTATTGTTTTATTTCTAATGTATTCTTTTGTTCTGGAATACATCAAGTTACTTTGAGAAACATATAAAAGCAATTTGATATCAATTCACAGTATTCACATTTCTGCTTGTACATGAAGGCCCCCCCCCCCCCAGTACAGTAAGGGTTAAAACAGCTTTAATACTGACAAGTTTGATAAAGTTATCCCCCACAGGAGGTCTCCATTCTTTGTACTTGGTGTTGTGAATTCTGTGTTGTAATATGTTCTTTCTCATTGCTCACGTAATCAGGGAAAAGGCACTTGAAAAATCTGGAACTGTCCATGGCTGCTGATAAACCTAAACCATTGATGGAGTCAAAGTCATGTCCCGCTAGTCAACAAGAACCAAAGGCGTCGGACCAAGTCAACGAGCCACCATTACATCCACCAGATGAAGAGGTAATTACCATATAAAACTCCTTTAACTTATTGAATACTGAGCCTGAGATGGTTTAGTCTAGTGTCTTTGGAAACATGCGCTATCGCCGAACCCCCCCCCCCCAAAAAAAAAAAATGCCGGGATTTGCGCCTCTTGGATGCATTTTGAGCCAAACAGGACTAACATACTCTCGGTGTTACTAGGTAAATTTCATGCCAAATGTATATATGTACAAAGCTGTAATAGTGATCCTGTTGTAGTAGTCCATAGAGTAAATCCAGGTGTTTTTTTTAGGCTGGTCCACCGTATGCATTGCAAAGTCATCTTGAAATGCACAGCATCATAGCATATCATATCACAAACATTCAGTACATTTCAAAGTGACACAAGAACAGCAGAAGCATTGAAAAAAGTATCAATAAATTATAACAATATTACTGGCGGTCCTGTTCCTAAAATTTGAAAATGCACATCTCTTACCAGTTACGTGTGTCCGTAAGACAACATGTTTCCCAAAACTGGGCTGTATTTCAAGAACTTTTCTGTTTTAGATCAGGATTTTTGTGATTTGCAAGCTTAAATGTGTCTCATTGCATGTACCAGTCTCTATAAGTCCATAGCTCCGCATGTATTGCTACGTCTTTTTTTTAAATTACAGAGGTGGAATTCAGCTGCTGGCTTTTTGATCAGCACACAAGCAATACTCTTGACTTAGAACATGTGGCTAAAAATCCCGGCTAACACTTCTGAAATAAAAATTGATATTGCCATGGCATCTCTTTATTTATTTTCAGGATTTAAAAAAAAAAATGAACAGTAACAAAATGTTCTACCATGGTTTAAATAAGAAATTAAAATAATTCAGGAATAAAGAGTAGCAAAGTAGGATTTTGTCGTAAGCAGCTGCAAACCTCCCCTTATTCTATTTCAAGTTAATCCATTAAATACTACTCCCTTGAACTGGACATGTGGCTAAACCAAAGGAAAGCCCTTTGGTCACTTTATACAGGTTTTTCTTTCATGTGTTTAATACACAAGTATTTTGTAACTGTCTTTATTTACAGCTCTTTGAATTAGAAGAACAGCATCCACCACAAGAGAATGCCGAGTCTCAAGAAAACCAGGATGATATCGATTCAGCTATAGTTAAAAGCCTACAAGAAACTACAAAAGACATGCCAGAGCTCAAATTATAAATAGTGGGTGGAGAAACCAGATATCTTGGACCTCAATTATGCTGTACTGATACAGTGCTTTGGAAGTCTTTGCTGCTTTTTATATCACTTGAACATTTTTTCTGGGCAGGTAAAAGGATGCTCAAGTTCATTAAATTGTTTTTATAAACTGCACTGTCCTGTACATGCATGGGTTCTCTTTATGTGTGATATATCACCTCAAAAACTGAATACAGTTGGAGCTTGTTGCACCACTGAAAATACAAGTAGTAAAACTGCAGTATTGTGGATCTGGAATACCCATGTGTCATTTGTCACCATAGTGGCATTTGGTCAGTTCAACATGAGGGATGTTCACATTTGGAGAGGCTTTGGTTATCGCGAAGCAGGATCCAAGGTGTTAAATGGGTACCTGGTAGTGGTAGGATGCGACCATCAATGTTGGTCAAATAAATTTTGAGCGCTAAGTAACGCCTGGCTGGAATGCTCCCCAGGGAGTGGAGATTGTGCACACAGTGAGTGCGGGCAAGTATTCAATCCAATGACCGGGGTAATAGTATATATGTAAAGCGCTTTATCGTAGATGTATTAAAGGCAGGCTTTACTACTTCAGCTAGAAGGGATTTAAATTAGACCACCCAGCGAGCCAGCGAGGTTACTGTGACAGGTGGCTATCTCATCAACTAGGCTCTCATTTAACATAAGAAAAAGAGGATCATGGGGGACCAACAGGCACCGATTGAGCAAGTAGCTACAAGTAGGACAGTGTGCCTTTAAGCGCTATATAAACACAGAATATTATTATTTTATTATTTATATTATTTTCCATTTTGCATGTTCAAATTAATGAGAATTTTGGCTTTATCTTAAATACATTTGAAGCAGGCATTATGCTATTGCACCGTAGCATTGATTATTGATTGATAAATTAATTTATGGGCACATAATCTTGAAGGTGTGCCAAATGGTATACATGTAGTAATCTTAGTTCTCTGTCGATCTTGCAATTTAAGTCACATATTTGCAAAATCTATGTTGAAAAAGTAATAGTCAAATTAATTTCACAGCTTCATAATGTACATAGAACCTTTGTGTAGTGGAGGGATGCATTGCTATGTTCTGATACTTCTCAGTGACCCATGTCATGACCTATGACATATTTTTATATCAACATCCTTGTACATTTGTAGATATATTTTGTGTAATTTTGAAAATGTGGTTCATTTAGTCATGGACCAATACAGTGATGTTTTCTATGAAAATAATTCAACCAAGATGGACAGGACACGAAAACCAGTTTACAATTTTCAGATGTTCATCCAATGTCTGTTGGCATTACGAGGCACTTTCTTAAATACTTTTTGCCAAATGCTGCCCAAACTGATTTGCAAGTTGTTCCGAAAAGTAAAAGTTGAGAAAACCTGAAAATGATATCCATATCTCTTATACGTAAAATTGTGTTCAATTCTTGCGATTTTTATTTTGCCCTTGTCATTTCTGCTCTAGACTTCCTTTGCAGAGAGTGATGTTCCTTAGTACTACATATCACTATGATTTTAAAATTGAATCTAAGAATTGTGTCTTGTTTTTTACAGATTTTTAGTACAGATTTCTTTTAGTGGTCATATAAGGATGACCCAATAATGGACCCAATTTTGCTTTGTAAGATTTTATTAAACACATGTACATGTTGAAAGGTTTATGAATTGCAGCTTAACTTTAATTCCCTTTCAGATATCACTTCAAAGAAAGAGTAATTACAATGTCAGTATGTTACAACTTAACTCTCTTGTACAGTCAAACCTGCTTTAGTGACCACCTGTCTACAAAGACCACCTGTCTACAAAGGCCACATTTGTTGTTTCCCTTGAAAATGGTTTCTCATTGAAACATGTACTAAAGGAACCTGTTTACAAAGACCACCTGTCTACAAAGGCCACTATTTGTGTTTCCCTTGGGCAGTTGCTATAAACAGGTTTGACTGTATATATACATATATGTCCATCACTTGATACTTCAGGATCAATAAAAATAAAAATCTTTTATGGCCATGCCTCTTTTCTGATTTTTCATTTTCATTTTCTGATTTTTCATTTTCATTTTCATTTCTTTTGATAATGATTCATTAACATATGCCAGGAAATGCCATAGAGCTTGCAGTTTTGTGTGTGAATCTGTTGTGTATTTTAATATTTTTACATTACATTATGACTGTATGAACAAACATAAAAGCAAAAAGAGGCAAAATACTTCATGCATATTTCATTTAAACCTTGTTGGTCTTGGGTTTTTCAAAGTCATCTGTTTAGAGCCAGAGGTGCATTTAGCCCCTTTTAGCTCTCTTAAATCAGATGATATGTTCTAAAGATATGTTGCTTGTAGCACATTGTTATATCTCTATAATGTTCTGGCACCAATATCTCGCAAAGAAAGACATGTAAAAACAGCTTTATATATTACAATTGTATTCACAAACAATTCAAATACAGAATACATTTGGTTTCAGTAGTCCTATAATACAACATTTCAAGTTCACAGTACAATACATGTATACTTGGGAGATATTTCTCATTGTACTTGCAAAAGTATATTTACAATTTAAAAATCAGTACTTATCTAAATACCCAATGGCACTAGTGAAAACAAATGTCATACATTTAAAAAAAAATTCCCTAAAAGCATATGACAAAGGTGGTTTGCATATACATGTACTACATGCATTACATCTATTTTCTGCTGGAAGGCCCTACTTAAAAACTTCAATAAACAAAGGTTTGTAAGTAGGACTTAATCCTATAAAAACACAATTAAATTAACAACTACGGACCTACCGGGTACTTTTTGTGTGCATTCAAATGAGGAAAAGATGAAGGGGGTAGGGCCAATATTTATAAAGGTTTCAAGATGGAGAGTGGTCCTAAATTTACCAAACTATCCATGAAATTCCCTGGAATATGTCTCCTTTGCATGGAAGAGGAGAGAGACGATTTTATTCACATTAAAAATACAATGTATTGATGTAAAACGGTAAAATTTAACAGAAGTAGTACTGATTGAAAAGTGGCACTATCCAGGACCAGCCTGCAGTGCTGAGAAGAGACAAACATTGCAATGATTTGAGGGTTGAGGGGGGGGGGGGGGGGGTCAAAAAAGGACTCGTTACTTTCAAATGAGAATATAAAAAGTACTTGCATTATATTAAGCTATTCTTTTCCCCATTAGGAATAATGCCTTAATGAGACAGACAGAAAAGTCATCTTGTATCCTTCCACACATCAACTAAAGAACAGTGATTAAAACAATAAATCATTTTACATGATGACAGCACCCTAACATCTACCAACATCTACCAAATTCTCATTAACACCAATCGATAACGTCAACTAGTGTTCATTATTTCCTTTCTCATCTGATTGCCATCGAGAAGATTCTCCCTATTATGGGTCGGGGTATAATAACATCCTCTTTGTACTTAATGTCTTCTACTATGCCCTTGATCTCCTGCATGTCAGAACAAGTTTCACATCAAAAATCAAATTTTAAATTTCCTCTTAAAAAAACAAAAGAGTCCTCTGCACTCTTTGGCCTGTATTCTCCTAAACTGATAGCTCACGCTTGGCCTAAGCTTTTATCAAGAATCGGGTTTAACAAAGGAAGTTGGTATGAGGTCTTAAAGCCCCACTGTACTACTTGTAGCTACTTGCTCCCTCTATATAGAAGACTTCCCCAATCGGTGCCTGATGGTCCCCCATTTCTTATGTTATTTGAGAGCTGAGTTGATGAGATAGCCACCGTCAGTGACTAGTACAGTACTAGCCAAACTAATACAGATGAGCTTTAAGTGTTTTCCTTTGTTAAACATGATCTTAGACCCACAATCTGATTTAAATGAATAAGATTCAAATATCTGTAATGGTCTTCCTACTTTAATACACAAAACAAAACGTCTAGAAAGGAACCTTATTTCAACACTAACAAGGTGATAGAATGATTTTGTACAGCAAATGAATACTAATGAATATGTGTAAAACATAATAACATAATGATACAAAAAATAATGCTAAAAATGATATAAAAGGATATACAAGTAATACTACAAACACAATATGGCAGTGTAAAGTTTTAAAAATGATGATAAAAGGTGGACAATCAGCTGAACGGTTTGGCAAATAAAAATGATGTCTGTTTTGCTCTAGAAAATGGGATAATAATTACTTGAATACAGAAGGCTTTCCAAGATAAATTGACTTTTATCCCACTTTGAAAGCTGAAAGAAATAACCAAACCTAGCAAAAACCGCTAGCCAGGCTTTAAATTAAAAAGATATGCTGTACCTTATTAAACACAATACTATGATTTTTCTGAGCACATACAGTGTACATCACAATGCAGACTGCAGCAGAAAATAAATTACCGATCTCCATTAGATGTAAATGAAAAAAAAAGATTGTTTCAAATCTGGGACAAGTTGTACATTCATCCATAAGCAGATGAACTGGATTGTATAAATCACATTCTATACAAAATAAACGATGAGCAGCACAAAACATTTCAGAAATGACATTCGCAGTAATTACAAACTGAGGGCAAGGAGGGTCATACAATTTGGAGACAAACTACTAACAACGCAGCTTCCCAAACTCCTCATCAAACATTAGATTGTAAACATATGATTCTGAGGACAGAGAATTTGTCCTTTATATGCACACTTCCAGCGTTTTTCAAACCTTTCGGGTTTCAAGGCGCAAAGAAGTATGAAAGTATTAAACTTTAAAAGGCAAAATATCTCTGTACATGATGGTCTGTAACTTGCCATCATATATCTTTGACTACTGCATATTAATCAGATAAGGATCTATGGCTTTGACTAACACTTTATTTTAGGTTACATTAACATACCGTACCCAAGTTTCAGACAAAATGAATGATTATGGTAAATAACATCTGTTATCCTTTTCAAATTTTTGCATATGAGGTTAGCAGTACCTTTTAATGATGCATAAGCTATTTCAAAAGAGTATGTCAAATTGTCAATTGCAATGTATTTGAAGTATACTACTTTTGGATCTAGTACATGATTATGATATTAATAGAAAAAAGTACATTTCAAATGATTCTTACTTTGGCATTACTCTACAGTTGATCAAATATGTACACAGTAAAATTACTCTCGAAAATTTACAAAGTTAAAAAACATGAAGAAGACACAACTGGCTGATATCACTAAGCTATACATAGAACTACAATGGTTGTCAATCACAAATGAAAAGAGCTACAAAAAGATAAGACATTTTCTGAAATGATGCGAGGATTTGTGTCCCTGCTTTTCAAGTCCTATGCCTACTTCTGTTAGGTAGTACCATTAACGACATATGCTGCCTTTTATTCCTTTTCTCTTAGAAAAGATGTTGCATTAAAATTACTCTCAACTTTTTAAAAGAGAACGAGAATTCACTATAAGATACAATATAATTTAATAAAGAAGGGTGTGGTGTCTCAGTTTCATGCTTTCACAAGCATCTTGCTCATGCTCAAAATTGTAATATTCAGCATTAATGTATAACGGTTATGAAATCTATTTCATTGTCATGAAATCATGATCATTTGCATTCGTACAATACACATATGAATTTGGACCGAATGTTATGACTTGCATCAAACTAAACAATTCAGCAAAATACCCTGTTTTTAAAAGCATTTTAACAACTTGAATTTTATGACATTAATTCAATTAACTCTTAATTTAGTTATTTATATATGTAAATGAGTTATTTAATTGACAAATCAAATATTTCAATGGATGCTCCCTCTCTGAAGGAGATGTTCTTGCAGCAGATCACCATGCACATGTACATGTATGGTGAGGCACTGTTGAGGTCAGGACAGAGGGTCGCCTGATGAACCAACCAACCGATCATTCATTAATCCATCGCTTGAAGAGGTACATTTTGTGAGTGACTCCAGGTCCAGTGTTCAGTTCCCTTCAAATCATCACAGCCTACAGATTACCTTTCTTAAAGATGCGATCCAGGTATTTGACCACCCGTTTCAGTCCACAATCCCCTAGACCTTCCCTCAGTCTGTCCTTCACGTCGTCATCGCATCGGCATCCATTCTCCTCCCTCCACCAGCGAAGGAGCACCGCCATGGCTTTATCCTGAGCGGATCCACTGCATGACTCCAGGGAGCTGAGCTCCTTCTCCAGGGAGGGGCTCCTGGAGACAGGGAGCATCCTGGCAAACCTCTTCCAGTTGATGGCTACTGAGATGGCCTTGGATGATGCTTCAAATGCTGCCTTCAGATCTTCATCTATCAAAGGATACAAATTGTTTTTCATTTTATGAATTCATAAAGCCCCACTGCACTTCATATAGCTACTTGCGCCCTTTATACAGCCAACAATGCCTTAGCGGTACCCGTTGATCCCCCACAATGCCCTTCTTCTTATGTCAATTGAGAGCTGATTTGATGAGATAACCACCTGCCAGTGACCTTTCAGGGAGGTCTAATCCCCCATGCGAAACAAGTGCAAAGGGGCTTTCAATAAAGGTATTAGTTTTACAGTGTATCAACTAAATTAGTCAACTTTAAATATATATCATCTGTTTGGAGCTAGAAGGGCATTAATTCATTTCATTTTACACAGAGTTAATGCCTTATTAGCTCCACATAGATGATACATAGGCCTATTTCTCAGGCTTTGAATCATAATCATCTCAGGAATGTTTTCTTATCCTTTTATAAAAGTACCAATACATTTGCATTTGTCAAACAACAGTGCTCAACAAATGAACATGGCAAAATTTATGTTAACAATACACTTTTCTCCATCAAGCTAAATTTGTTTGGTTAGAGGTGTTGTGGTCTAGTGGATAAGTCGTTGGACTGTAGATCACAGGGTTCGCGGTTCGATTCCCGCCACGGCACTAGTGTCCTGTGGCAAGATATTAATCTACATTTGCCACTCTCCACCCAGGTGTTAAATGGGTACCTGTATGAAGCAATTCCTTGAATGCTGTGAGCACCAAAATTGGCTGCCTAGCAGAGCCGGGGTAATAGTTGGAGCACCTTGAGCACCATGCATGGTATCCAATATTATTATTATTATTATTAAAAGTGCTTGATGTTAAGAATTGTAATGACGTGTCTTACCCTGGACCTGATGGATGTTCATCCCAGCCCACTCCACTGGATGCTGCTTGGGAGGACCTCCTGATGATGAGCCTTGGGGCTGGTAAACTAGAAGAAAGAAAATTAGTAATTATATTTAAGCCCCACTGTGCTACTTATACTTATATCATTGGTCCCCCATGATCCTCTTTTTCTAATGTTAATTGAGAGCTGATTTGATGAGATAACCACCTGTCAGTGACCTTGCAGGGAGGTCTAATCATCCTTGGCCAAACTAGTGTAGAGGGGCTTTAAAGACTGCTAATAATAATGATGATGATGGTGACAAAATATAATACAGGTGATGGATGAAAACTAATAATGAAGTAAAGAGAGAAAGGGAAAGGGGAAAAAAGAAATAAAGTGAGCATGTCATAAAAGGAAATGGGGTACAAAAAATGAAAAATCAACAAAACAATATGAGTGTGCTTTCAACTTTCAACAATGTAATAATGGCAGTACAGACATGTAGATTCATGTTATGATAATACGTTTATCTTGAGGTAGATAAAAAAAAGTTTTGGGGTGGGACAAGAGGGCTAATCTACCAAGTATACCAAGTATACCAAGTAAGGAATAAATTGACTATATGATGAAAATAATCAAGGAAAAAACAAATTTTGGGGAAATGTAATTAAAGGGAAGAAATGGCAAGTCTGATTTTATAGCAAATATTTATCACTATAAAAAATTAAAAATAATACATTCAAGAGTGAATAAAAGGACAACCATGGATTGTTTACAATTAGTAGTCATATAAAACAAAATATAATACATATACCATAAATTGAAATTGAATTGAGATTTTACAATATGCATTCATTAGCATATAGACAGGAACATGTACTAATTGAGGTCATCGTATGGTCCACTACAAGTAGTACAAGGGAGATAAGTTGAATAAATGTTCAAAACAATCGCACCTGGACCATCAATATAAACCCTAACATTTCCTGTAGTAGTCTCTGGGCACCGAGCCAAAGAGCTTTACAGGATGTACCGTGTTTATATTTGGAACACATCCAAGAGAGCTCCCCGTGAAATGTCAAATTGCGTGACATCATTGCTCTAATACCACTATGATGGATGTGTTTATCACTATCATGTCTTTATTTTAGACAGACCAGCGGATAGTTTGACAGCAAGAAGGGTGTATGTCACTATCATGTCACCTGCTGAAAGCCAAAAGGGCACAATTCATGTACCGGTATATACTTTATATTACATGAAGTTTTACATGCACTTCTGGCTCTCAGCAGAAAAGTGTTGGTTGTTCAATGACTGTCAAAATAGTTTTAGAGTAAGAAGGCTGTAAAGGAATGTGTTTATCATTACCATGTCTTATATTTTACAGACTGTCAGATATAATAGTTTTAGAGTAAGAAGGCTGTAAAGGAATGTGTTTATCATTATCATGTCTTATATTGTACAGACTGTCAGATAGTTTGAGAGTAAGAAGGCTGTAAAGGAATGTGTTTTCATTATCATGTCTTGAAATTTATAGACTGTCAGAGCAATAGTGTACTTGCACACATCAGTTGATTTTTTTTTTTTTTTTTTTGCATTTACAAACTGGATTAGTACAGTAGTTTGTTAACAATCATTGCTGGTATTATTGGTGAAAGCACATTTCTCTGTGCATCATTATATCATTATTTTTAAAACCATCTATTAATTATGAATCATTTTCAAGACAAACATGCATAATTGATGAAACAAGGCTTACTATGAAAGGTGCAGTCTCGAGGTTGCTCTACAACCCAGTTAGCCTGTCCTTGAATGTCATAGGAGTTCCGCATTCTGGGCTGTTGTCTCATCAAAGGAGCTGCTCATAGAAAAGATGAGAAAATTTATCAATTCCGAACGTGTAGCTATCATGATATGAGGCATAATCTTTCATAACTTGACAAATGCACCTCTTTCCAAAGACAATTTGTACTACATGTATATTCTTACTTAATTAATTGTTTTAAGTGCCACGAATCATAACAATGGGATAAGACATGAACTGGTAAATTTGGTCAAAAGATTGCAGGTGGGATACACAAATTGCTGATATGCCTGACAAACAAAGGCCACTTGTTGGGCTTTCCGGGCCTTACCATAATTGACTATGTACATGAATGTTTAAACTTTGAATTGATTTGCAAAGTGGTCAACTAATCTAAAGCACTATACATTACACAGTGAAATTGTGGACAAATGAAATAATTGCAACTTTTTAATTAGTAATATTCACAGTTTGTCATGGATCTAATGTATGCACACAACTATGGCAATAGCATTCACCAATATGGATATCTATCAACTTTCTTCATTGGGTTGCGGCAGTTGCTTACTCAATTCATATTCCAAATAGGTGCATAATGAATTAAACAATAAAATCATCAAAAAATTGAAAAGACAAAGGTTTTGAATACAAATTCATGAGTATCACCCTACCATGTGAATGTTGTCTTGGGATGGCATCGGCTGTTCTCATCCTCTTGGTATCTGGTTCAGCCGACATAGGAGAGATCATACCATCATCCTCACCACCATCATCTTCATCTCTTTCTTTCCTCTTCCTAGGGGATATCGACACACCTGCCTCATCCAATGGCCTGGGGGTTTCATCCTCACACTTCCTTTTCAAGCCTGATAATGTCCTCTGATTGGAATTTTCATTCACATTTTCTGAAGAGGCATCCTTTCTAAAACATTCTACTGAAGTGTTGTTCAGTACTGAATCTGACCGCGGCGAGTATGGAGTATTTATGTTTTTAGCTTTGCTGTCCTCCAAAGAAAGTCTTGATGGAATCGCTCTAACCTGAACACCGACATGACTTCCATCATTGTCAAGCTGCTGGGAACTTCCATTTTCATTTGGACTAAATGAAGTCCTCCTCTGGTTTGATCTGATAATGTAATTTGGAGGCATGCTTACACCTAGTACTTTTCCAGTGGCATCTCCTGACAGGCTAGGATCCAGTGAGGGACAGATATTGTTATTTAAAGCCGATTCTTCATCTCTTTGGATACTGACAAACCTGTGCTTCTCTGACTCCTGAGAATGATAGCCTTCATCGTCATTGTCATTTTTGGCCTTCCCCAGCCTGTCAAGGTCGGCAATGATAGAGCAGGGCAAAGTCTTTGAGGGAGAGCCATCGGATTCATCCTCACCCAGAGGTATCATGACCCTGGAGAAATCCACTTCATCTTCACCGTAGGGTTGGCAAAGTTGGCGAGGAATGGCAAAGTTACCATTGATTTCATTCCGCTGTAACACCACATCACATCCTGAATCATCCATCTCGGAAATCCTGGAGCAATGGTCTTGAAGGTTAAGGGTGTCCTCTTGCCAAATTCTGTCCGAAATGGCTTTGAAATGGCTCCTAAATAAGATAGACATAAAAGCTGTAAATAACACACACAATGACCCTCAGTAACCCACTAACCAAATGTAGCAAATTGCAATCACAGCACAGAGTGAACCAAAGTGACGACACACTTTCCACGTTTTCTAAATTTATCAAAACTCAGATTCTCCTGAACTATCGACCCTTGTTATGATTGGCAGGAAGCTGCCAATAAGGTGCATCTGGACTTGCCCAGACTGTTTTGAACATGTCAAGCATTGTTATGTCATGGAAACATCAACTTTACATAAGCAAAAGAAACAACAACAAAAAACTCAAGGATAAAAATAAAATAGTGTATTATATAATAATAAAGGTACGAGTATGATTGTATGCTCATCATTTTAACACAACTTGGAAATCATATGACTAGGGCGACTTTCTCTTCAATTAAACCCCATCTTTTTTTTTGACTTCTAAATATATTCCTCGCTGCTAGAAATGTACCGGTAACTAATATTTATAGGACATATACATGTACATATGTATGACAAGGGAAAGTGAGAAAGTGGGGAGAGAGAAAGAGAGGGAGAGAGAAAGAGAGAGAGAGAGAAGAAAAAAAGAGTGGAGAGATTAGAGAAGAGAGAGAAAGAGAAAGAGAAGAAGGGAAGAGAGAGGGAGGAAGAGGGGGAGAAAGGGAGAAAGAGAGAGAGAGAGAGAGAGAGAGAGGGAGAGAGCGGGAGAGAGAGGGAGAGAGAGAGAGCGGGGGAGAGAGAGAGAGAGCACGACTTGCTTCCTGTGTCTATTCCCAGGTCAGTTTCACCTTTCTCTCTTCAAAACAAGCTATTACGTCATGGCCAAATTTACTAGGAAAACAAGGTCCATGTGTGTCCTCTGGAGCTATGCCAATTAACCAGTTTACATTGTTTAAGACCCTTGTTTTAGTTTTGCCTTTATGCACTGACAAAAGAGGGATGATTTCACAACAAAGTTTCACAAAAAATAAGTGTAATTTATCTCTTTTATGAAATAGATTTTAGTTGCTTTACTTGACATACAAAAAACCCAACATAAAAGAGTAACCACATTCCATCTGCTTCTGTTTTTTGTTCATTTCTACTTTTTTCTTTTAGTAATTTATTTTCCGATTTAAAATGCACTGAAAGAGAAACAAAAAATACCCCCCTACCCCCCCCCCCCCAAAAAAAATAAAAATAGAGATTTTGACTCTACCTATGCTGTAGCACATACAGGTGTAATGATGTTTTGCAATTTGAAGTAGAATGATATGAGGAAAGCAAGCACACTTTTAGATCTTTACTGACGCAACATGTAGCTGAATTAAAAATCTACATTTTCACTACAGTGGCTACTTTCCCTTAAAAATTGGCTATTATGGTGAGGTTTTTCTGATATATGCAGAAAATCAAGCTCCTTCCAATATTCTAAAGTGAAATAATATTAGTGCAACTCAGCTTAATTTTATTTGCCACTTCTCTATAGTTCGACTGGATATTGCAATGCTCAAATATTACACATAACACAGC